CACGTGTCAAAGTGGAAGATGGGGATGCCAACTTTTACTCTTAACTTCACCAGAAGAACATAGACGTCTCTAGATAGGGACCAGCAGGGGGCCAGTGCCCCTGTAGAACTGGTCCTGGCACTTGTTGTGGACCCTGCATTCAAATAGATATATATAGACTGCAGAAACTGAAATATAAATAAATCAACTTTTCTCTAACTGAGTGGATTTTCCCTTTATTTAAAGTAATAGGGTGAGACAATTTGCTGGTGTGACATTTATTTACATTTAAAATAAGTAAAATATTAAGTTCATAACATCTAATTATCTTTTTATGTGAGCAAACATACTCATTCCTACGGAGCCCCTCTGATGACATGGTCAAAAAAAATTTTTAATTGTGGCCATGAAGTACAGGTGCTGGTCATAAAATTAGAATATCATGAAAAAGTAGATTGATTTCAGTAATTCCATTTAAAAAGTGAAACTTGTATATTATATTCATACATTACATACAAACTCATATATTTCAGATGTTTATTTTGTTTAATTTTGATGATTACAAATGACAACAAATGAAAATCTCAAATTCATCATATCAGAAAATTAGAATATTGTGAAAAGGTTCAAAATTGATGGCCCCTGGTGCCACACTCTAATCAGCTAATTAACTCAAACCACCTGCAAAAGCCTTTAAATGGTCTTTCAGTCTAGTTCTATAGGCTACACAATCATGGGGAAGACTGCTGACTTGACAGTTGTCCAAAAGACGACCATCGACACCTTGCACAAGGAGGGCAAGACACAAAAGGTCATCGCTAAAGAGGCTGGCTGTTCACAGAGCTCAGTGTCCAAGCACATTAATAGAGAGGCGAAGGGAAGGAAAAGATGTGGTCGAAAAAAGTGTACAAGCAAGAGAGATAACCACACCCTGGAGAGGATTGTGAAACAAAACTCATTCAAAAATGTGGGGGAGATTCACAAAGAGTGGACTGCAGCTGGAGTGAGTGCTTCAAGAACCACCACACACAGACGTATGAAAGACATGGGTTTCTGCTGTCGCATTCCTTGTGTCAAGCCACTCTTGAACCACAGACAGCGTCAGAAGCGTCTTGCCTGGGCTAAAGAGAAACAGGACTGGACTGCTGGTGAGTGGTCCAAAGTCATGTTCTCTGATGAAAGTAAATTTTGCATTTCCTTTGGAAATCAAGGTCCCAGAGTCTGGAGGAAAAGAAGAGAGGCACTTCATCCACGTTGCTTGAAGTCCAGTGTAAAGTTTCCACAGTCAGTGATGGTTTGGGGTGCCATGTCATCTGCTGGTGTTGGTCCATTGTGTTTTCTGAGGTCCAGGGTCAACGCAGCCACATACCAGGAAGTTTTAGAGCACTTCATGCTTCCTGCAGCTGACCAACTTTTTGGAGATGCAGATTTCATTTTCCAACAGGACTTGGCACCTGCACACAGTGCCAAAGCTACCAGTACCTGGTTGAAGGACCATGGTATCCCTGTTCTTAATTGGCCAGCAAACTCTCCTGACCTTAACCCCATAGAAAATCTATGGGGTATTGTGAAGAAGAAGATGCAATACACCAGACCCAACAATTCAGAAGAGCTAAAAGCCACTATTAGAGCAACCTGGGCTATCATAACACCTGAGCAGTGCCACAGACTGATCGACTCCATGCCACGCCGCATTGCTGCAGTAATACAGGCCAAAGGAGGCCCAACTAAATACTGAGTGCTGTACATGCTCATACTTTTCATGTTCATAATTTTCAGTTGGCCAACATTTCTATAAATCCTTTGTTTTTATTGGTCTTCAGTAATATTCTAATTTTCTGATATGATGATTTTGAGATTTTCATTTGTTGTCATTTGTAATCATCAAAATTAAACAAAATAAACATCTGAAATATATGAGTTTGTATGTAATGTATGAATATAATATACAAGTTTCACTTTTTAAATGGAATTACTGAAATCAATCTACTTTTTCATGATATTCTAATTTTATGACCAGCACCTGTAGTATTTCATGCGCATGAAATACTACTTCGTGGCCACGCAATAAGTTTAACATGCACACGAAATACTTATTAATAATATTAATATCATTCCTGGACAACTGGGTAAGCAAATCGAGCGCGCCTTCTAAGGTCTAAGGTGCGCTCGATTTGCTTACCCAGTCAGTCTCCGGCAGTCACGTGACATTTGTTGCTAAGACGCCATTTTAGGTGGAAAATGGCGTAGTGTAAACAACCGCAGCATAGCTAAACGAAGGACTAAAGGCCCGTTTACATAGCAGCCTGTCCAAGATAAGTCATTACAGTTAACATAAGCCTGAAAACAGGGGCGGATTTATTGATATTATTAATAAGTATTTCGTGCGCACGTTAAACTTATTGCGTGGCCACGAAGTACTATTTCGTGGCCACAATTAAACATTTTTTTTGACCATGTCATCAGAGGGGCTCCGTACATTCCTATGACAGACCATCTTATTTATCTGCCCAAATTAGAGAAAAAACACACTTCTTTTAAGAATTTTTCTGCGCTTTTTGCAGTGTATTACTAACTAATTTTCTCATGATATGTGCCAACAGAAGAGACTACAACTCAATTGTCCCTTGGACCAAGTTAGTATTCCAAATTCCCAATTTGCTTCAACAAATATTTAGAAATTACAGTCAGCTTTAAGCTTCAGCTGAATCAAGATGGGATCACAGTTTTCTTCTGTTAGGTCAAGAATCTATCTTAATATTCTAAACGGCGCATTCTTACCCTGTTTTTTGTGTTTGTTATTAATTTGTTTGTTTTTTCTTTGTTCCCATGAGAAAACACTGGCCCCACGAATAGAAACAATACGGCAGGAGAACATCGACATGGTAAGCTATACAGAAATGATCTTAAATATATAAAGGTTTGTATGTAAGAAATATTATAAACTATTATACTTGCAAATTACTCAAAAGGCACCATGAGTTTCCCCCTTTCCTTTTACATTTTTTAAAGTATATTTTTTAGATGTTTTGAATATGCTGTAGCAGTTTTAATTGATTAAGATTGATTAAAATTGTTGACACCACAAAGATTTTAATTGGAACACATATTAATTCAGTGTGACTGATCCACAACATGGTTTCTCTGAACTACTTTTTTACTTCTACATTTCTTGGAAATTTACTAGAGGACAATCATTAATGGTTTTACAGATAATGAAAAAGTCACAATTATTAAGGGTTGTTTTTTTATTCAAGTCAGGCAAGAAGTAACATATATAGATGAGTAAATAACTAAATTCAATTCAGTTTATTTCTATAGCGCCAATTCACAACATATGTCATCTCAAGGCACTTTACAGTTCAATCAGATCATACAGTCAAATTGATTCAAAGTTTTTTATCTAAGGAAAACCAGCTGATTGCATCGACTCATTGACTTGGATGCCATCCCTCAAACTAAGCATGCTTGTAGCGACAGTGGAAAGGAAAAACTCCCTTTTAACAGGAAGAAACCTCCAGCAGAACCAGGCTCAGTGTGAGCGGCCATCTGCTGAGGCCGACTGGGGTTCAAGGAGACAGAAGCAGAGACACAAAAAGTAGCATAGATACAAAAGGCAACTGTCAACCAGCTCCACAGGCGGCCCCGTCCAGGAAACACACAGCCAGGCAGACGAGCTCTGAGCCAGCTCCCATGTCAGAGGATGAAGAGAGCACATCCAGCCAGTCACGGTCAGAAAAACAGGAATACACTGGAAAACAGGCAGATCTCCAGCATCTATAAACAAAGGTGTTGATGGCAGCAGCACAGCTGATATTTCTCTCCAGGATGGAGTCTCAGCCAAACAGGAACAGACCAGATGAAGCTACTGTGAGAAAAAGTAGAGAGAGCAGAACGTTAGAGATTGAACTAACAGATTCTGCAGACTGGGAGAATAGAGATAGAATGAAGCAGAATGATGAAATGGGGGTCCCTATGTCCTCTAGCAGTCTAAGCCTATAGCAGCATAACTACAGAAATAGCTCAGGATAACCTGAGCCACTCTAACTATATGCTTTATCTAAAAAGAAAGTTTTAAGCCTAGCCTTAAAAGTAGACAGGGTCTAAAACTGGTAGTAGTTCCACAGGAGAGGGGCCTGATAACTAAAAGATCTGCCTCCCATTTTACTTTTAGAAATTCTAGGAACCACTACTAAACCTGCAGATTGAGAGCAAAGTGCTCTGTTAGGAACATAAGGAACAATCAGATCTCTGATATCAGATGGAGCTTGGCCATTTAAGGCTTTATATTTGAGAAGGAGGATTTTAAATTCTATTCTGGATTTAACAGGAAGCCAATGAAGAAAGAAATAAGCTGCTCATGCTTTACAAAGGCTCCTCTTATACAGTAGTAAACAATTTTTCCAGACTAAGTAGGATGCCCGTAGGCCTGTGGAGTGAGATTTTCTCTCCAGTTTCAGTTTTCAGTTTTTCAAGTGCGCAGCTCTGCATTTAACCAAGGAGCTAGCTTTCTATTTTTAACGGTTGTCATTTTCAAAGGAGCTGCGTTGTCTAAGGCAGTATGCAGAGAAGTAGCAACTCCATCAACAAAATCACCAAAATCATCAACCTGTGAAAGGGGAATAAACTAAAAGAAATCCATAATATCCAAATACATTTGAACTACACGGTTAGCAAACAGCAGCATGTCTGATGGTGTTTCTTACCATCACCTGCCTGCCTGACTGACTGACTGACTAACTAACTAATAAATGAGGATCAGTTTTTAAATAATAAGTTTGGTTAGTTGAAATCTGTACATCATGCATAAGTATATGGTCATGTGCATGCATTTTCTTTTATTAAAAACTAAATAAATAAATTTAAGAGTCAGAGTAGGGGATTTTAGGCTGGCAACCGGTTAGCCTAGCCAGTTATGTCTGTTACACAGGGACAGATCCCGTATCTAGCAAATGAGGAAATGGTTTTGAAAAAAACAACAACACAAGAACACATTCTTTCTGTTTTCTTTCTTCAAGTTTATGTAAGGTCAAACCTCCATATTTTTAACCAGAAAATATTTAGGAGTATTCCTTTGATAGATTCAAGGGATTTGGTCAGATTAAGTTCAAGAGTGAGTTCATGAAAACATAAACACAGCAGCATTAGGGAACAAAGAATCCAGCTCCTTACTCAGAGCTGCTCTACCGGTTTGAATCTACCGGTTTCAGCCTGACTGAGACAAACGAGGAAGATGTTCCCTGGAATGGACGTTTTCTTAAACCCTGGTTTGGTTTGAGGTGATTCTCATGAAAACCAACAGAGTAAGTACTTTAATTTGTTGTTTTGATTTATTCATTATACTTTTTTGTTGTAATGCATGGAAATTCAGAATGAAATATTTTTAAACCAAACTCACCCACACAAAATTTGCTGCATCATGATTGTTTATGATGATTTATACTAATCTGAACACATATTCATGTTTGTTTTTGTTATTTTTTCTTGTACAAAATAAAGTAAACAAAGACTTTTAAGATTTTTGAATAAGCAGCAGGCAGTCCTACTGTTGACAGACAGTAAACGAACAGCAAATAAGGGTTTAAAAACAATAGAAGTATGAAATTAAGAAAAGTTGCGTGACAAAACATGGCTAACTGGACTATTAACGCACAGTGGCAATATTAATAAATGAATATGTTTGTTTATTAGCTTCCAATTAAGGAGTCAGTCTGTTTGTGGCTCCTATCTGTCTCAGAAAATAGCAGCAAAACAATCTAAAGTCTGAGTTCATCCTTTACCTGCAGCTTTTAGTTCAAACTTAATCTGACAAATTAGAAACTATTTTTCACACAGTTCACAGTTGAATAGACGTCATTCACTCTGTTCATGTTTTTAAGATACTAAATTACCTGGAGAATTAATGAAATAGCCAAAAACATACACTATATTGCCAAAAGTATTTGCTCACCTGCCTTGACTCACATATGAGCTTAAGTGACATCCCGTTCCTAATCCATAGGGTTCAATATGACGTCGGTCCACCCTTTGCAGCTAGAACAGCTTCAACTCTTCTGGGAAGGCTGTCCACAAGGTTTAGGAGTGTGTTTATGGGAATTTTTGACCATTCTTCCAGAAGCGCATTTGTGAGGTCGCACACTGATGTTGGACGAGAAGGCCTGGCTCTCAGTCTCCGCTCTAATTCATCCCAAAGGTGTTCTATCGGGTTGAGGTCAGGACTCTGTGCAGGCCAGTCAAGTTCATCCACACCAGACTCTGTCATCCATGTCTTTATGGACCTTGCTTTGTGCACTGGTGCACAGTCATGTTGGAAGAGGAAGGGGCCAGCTCCAAACTGTTCCCACAAAGTTGGGAGCATGGAATTGTCCAAAATGTCTTGGGATGCTGAAGCATTCAGAGTTCCTTTCACTGGAACTAAGGGGCCAAGCCCAGCTCCTGAAAAACAACCTCACACCATAATCCCCCCTCCACCAAACTTTACACTTGGCACAATGCAGTCAGACAAGTACCGTTCTCCTGGCAACCGCCAAACCCAGACCCGTCCATCAGATTGCCAGATGGAGAAGCGCGATTCGTCACTCCAGAGAACGCGTCTCCACTGCTCTAGAGTCCAGTGGCGGCGTGCTTTACACCACCGCATCCGACGCTTTGCATTGCACTTGGTGATGTATGGCTTGGATGCAGCTGCTCGACCATGGAAACCCATTCCATGAAGCTCTCTGCGCACTGTTCTTGAGCTAATCTGAAGGCCACATGAAGTTTGGAGGTCTGTAGTGATTGACTCTGCAGAAAGTTGGCGACCTCTTCGCACTATGCGCGTCAGCATCCGCTGACCCCGCTCCGTCAGTTTACGTGGCCTACCACTTCGTGGCTGAGTTGCTGTCGTTCCCAAACACTTCCATTTTCTTATAATACAGCTGACAGTTGACTGTGGAATATTTAGGAGCGAGGAAATTTCACGACTGGATTTGTTGCACAGGTGGCATCCTATCACAGTTCCACGCTGGAATTCACTGAGCTCCTGAGAGCGACCCATTCTTTCACAAATGTTTGTAAAAACAGTCTGCATGCCTAGGTGCTTGAATTTATACACCTGTGGCCATGGAAGTGATTGGAACACCTGATTCCAATAATTTGGATGGGTGAGCAAATACTTTTGGCAATATAGTGTATGACATCTCCTATCATTTCAAGTAAAACATAGAGTAGACTAGAAATATCCTTTATTGTCCCAGACTAGGAGAACGTTGTGTGCATCAACAGCAAGTAGAAGAAAAGTTAACATAAAAATATTTAGTCATTAAAATAAAAAACATAATAAAGTAATTTGAAAGTGTAAAAAAATGCTTATGTATGCTTATCTATCAGAAACAACAGACTATTTACAAAAACGTTTAAGCAGCAGGAATATTAAAACAATCCAGCTATTGTTTGTTGTTTCTTTACTAGTACGGCCCTTGCTGTAATAAAACCGTGTTGACAACTGCACCACTGTGCAGTCTATAGTAAAATCTATGCATACACGCTATGTAATTTTATTACTTTACATAACTAGGATCAATTACGTTTTTTTTTTATTAAACTACCTTAAATACTTAACTTATTTTTACATCTAAACAATCAGACTTCTGCATTTCCAAATATGTGCCATGTTGTTCTTTTAAAGGTCTTATTATGAAATTGTTTGATTTTAAAAGTAGATTAATTCTACCTACCGTTTTTATCTTAAAGAGGCCAATTTAGGCTTTGATTTGATTTTATGTCATTTCAAAGAGGTAGAAAATATGCTTACACATTATCCAGTTGGTAAAGTGACAGAGCTGGTTTTCGGTCCTATAAATAGACAAATAAAACAAAGACAGTACTGTGTAGGATCTGACAGAGTGGATAACAAAGGTTTTACTGTGTTGTACTGTTCTACTTTTAGGAAGAAAGTGAGAACATAATTCCACCATGAGTTTGTCTCAAGAAAAAGAGAGAGCGCTTTTATCTCCAAATGACAACAAGGACAGACCTGAGAGGTAATATAAATAACAAACATGTTTATTGAGCCATAAGGAGTTTAAAAAAATCAGGTACAATGCTTGACAAGTATAAAGAATTAGATGTCTTGTTATGTTTTGCTGTCAAAGGGGCTTCCCTTTGTTGAAATGAAATACTGATCTACTCACTAGTTGCATATCCAAAGATCTTCTACAATCTTTGGTAGTTTTTTAAAGGTCTCATATTTTTCCAGGCCGGATCGAGAAAGATGTCCATCCCCAAGCTCTCTGTCCATAAAAAGCGAAAGGTCTATGGATTATCCTTTAAAGTTCAAACAGTAAGTTTATCCCTAATTTTTATTTGCCTGCAAACTCACCTGATTTTATCCCCATAGAAACCCCTCATGAAGAGGAAGAGGCGCTATAGTAAACCTGACAGTGCAGAAGAGCTAAAGGCCCCTTGGCCTTTCATTTTAATGGAGCAGAGATGGATTTCATGCTGTGTTGCATTTCTGCAATAATCCCAGTATTGAGTGATGCTCATACTTTTCATGTATACTTTTCAGTTTGGCTGAAATGTCTGGGAATCCTTTTTTTGTGTTGGTTTGTTTTTATTTATTTATTTTTTTGGAGATACTGAATTTGACCATGTCTTTGGGTGTCAATAATAATCAAAATGAAAAGAAATAAAGAGTCGAAATATATAAATCTGCATCTAATGAAAGGCTCAGCTACAATAGAGTTACTTAAATAAATACACCTTTTCATAGTATTCTAATTTCATGGCCACCGTCTGTAAATTAAGAGACATGCAATATAGTTTCATCGAAAACATTTTGTCTATAATGTAACAGTAACTTTTTTAACTGTAAGTTCTTTTCCAAGATGATTTACTTCTTTCTTTTTTTCCAGCCTAAGCCTCTGTAAAGAAACTATCTTTTTTTTTTTTTTATAGACAATGAGCTTCTCATTCCTTTTAAATATGTATTCTTCTTTTTTCAGGTCTGACCAAGGACGATATCCCTCCCCAAGCTCTGTGTCCATAAAAAGTGAAAAATCAATGGATTATCCTCTGAAGTTCAAACAGTAAGTTTGTCTTTTGAAAGATTTATTTTGCAGGGAAAATCAGTCCAATACATTTTAGAATGTATTCATCCTCTGAATCCCTCCATTATTTAAATTAGTTGTACTTATTGTAGCCTTAATATCTCATTTTAATTGTCCAATGTTGTGATTTTCCAATCCGTTTCTCTTAGCTTCAAGCTTCATTTTTAGTTTTTGATTTAGTTTCGTTCTTTTGCCAAACTATAGAACTCTTAAGAAACTGGTGTCAATATAGTCTTAAAAACTCTGAAGTCTGTCTTCGTAATGTAGACCTTTTATTTTTTATTTTTTCAGGTCTGACGTGGGTGGATGTGCATCCCCGAGCTGTGTGTCCATAAAAAGTGACAAATCTATGGATTATCCTCTAAAGTTTAAACAGTAAATTTATCTACTGAATATCCACCATTTTAAAAAGCACTAATTCTGAGTTAATAAACTTCGGACCAAATGAGAAGAGATGCAGAGTTAGCTCACAGCTTCAGCTAAAAACCACTGATAATGACTGAAACCTTGGTGTCATGATGGACTCAGACCTGAACCTTCAGAGGCACATAAAGGCAGTTACTAAGTCATCTTTTTATCACCTGAAGAGCATCTCCAGAATGAAAGGACTAATATCCAAGCAGGATCTAATAGAACACACTCATGCATTTATCTTTAGTAGAATTAATTACTGCAACAGCGTCTTCATAGGTTTGCATAAAAAGTCCATCAGACAGCTGCAGCTGATCCAAAGCATTGCTGCCCATGTTCTCACTAGAACTAAGAAAGTAGAACACATAAGCCTGATTCTGAAATCTTTCTACTGAGAAGAACTTGAAAATCCTTCTGTCATTCTATTAATAACTGAATGGATCAGAAACTCAATACATAACACAACTGTTGTCAGTGGATCAACCTGCCAGACCACTCAGGTCTTCCAGTTCCAGCCTACTCTGTTCACCTAGAACTAGAACCAAACATGGAGAAGTTACTCCCTATGACTGTTAACTGGGGTATCATTAGTTTAAGGTTTTGGTCCAAATGTTTTTCTCACTTTAATATCTGCTTTTATCCAGTTTTTATCTTTACTTGGTTTTATTCAGATTTCATTTTCCCTCTATGTTATAGTTTAATTCATGTAAAGCACTTTGAATTGTCTTTGTACTGAATTTGTGGCATAATTAATCTTAAAATAAGTTTATTAAAAGGCATTCTATCTCTAGTCTATACTGTAACTAAATACAGTATTTAGATTATTCTGTTGTGGAATTATCTAATTTATTTTTATCACCAAAGTTTAGCATTTAAGGTTAATGGAAAATAGCTTTCATCTTTTCTCGTTAACACACAGAGCCCCGACTTCTCTCCTAATCTTTTTTCAGGTCTGACCAGAACAGATGTCCATCCCCAAGCGGTTTGTCCATAAAAAGTAACAAATCTATGGATTATCCTCTTAAGTTCAAAGAGTAAGTTTGTGTTTTAAACAAATAATTTGTCAGGAGAAGTAATTCCAGTATATTAATTAATTAATTTAATATTGTAAATAATTATAATTAATTAAATATTGGCTATTTAATATATTTAATACCCTCTTAATTCCTACAGTAAATGAGGTTAATAACAATAAAGTTAAATTAGTTGTACTTACTGCAGCATATATTAAATCTAATCTAATTTTAAAGGTCCAATGTTGTTATTTATTTTATAATCTGCTCATTTTAGCTTCAAGCTCCAGTTTTTGTTGCTGTGTTGTTTTATTCTTGCCAGACTAGGTAACTCCAGAGAAACTGGCATCGATAGAGTTTCAAAGGTACTAAATCAATGTTCTTTCATCTGAATGTAGTTTTTTTTTTCTGTCTATTTACAGGTCTGACGTGGGAGGATATACATCCCCAAGCTGTGTGTCCATAAAGAGCGACAAATCTATGGATTATCCTCTAAAGTTTGAACAGTAAATTCATCTATTGATCAGTAACCTTATGATTACTTATCCCCAGAATTAGTAATCATAAGATTTTGCCAGAAACTTTGTTAAATCAAGAGACTTAAATTGGGTTCATTCAACTATTTATAGTATCATAATTCATCTGTTGATGAATAATTTTCTTTTATTGTCAAAGTTTATAGTTAAAGGTTCATGGAAAACAGCTTTGATTTTCTTTCTTTAAGGTTCTCAGCACCACATTCCTTTCTCTGAAATTTGTCTTTTTGTAGGTCTGACCAGAAAAGATGTCCGTCCCCAAACTGTTTGTCTGTCAAAAGTAACAAATCTATGGATTATCCTCTTAAGTTCAAACAGTAAGTTCAATTAGTCAATTTTAACAAAAATAATTGCAATTATAGAACAGTACCTGGTAAATGTGATGAACTTTTTTTACACTCTAGAATTATTCAGAGTCATTCATTAACGCATTTACATGCTGATGGTATTAAGCTACATAGTGGAAATGCCCTCATTTGTGGAAGATTTATGGAAGCAAGGCTGCTATACATTTGTACTAAAAGCAGGCAGCAGACAGAGCTGGGCCTCAAACTGGCAACCCAGTTGTTACAGGGCTAACACCCCACTAACCACTGTATATAACATCTCAAGGCACCTTGCTGTAAATCATGTTGAATTCTTGTCTTTTGGTGATACAATAATATGTCATGTTAAATGTGTCTCCACAGAAGCTACCAACAACCATCAGAGAGTCTCACAGTTCGACAACAACAACTGGATTCAGTTCTCACGGTTTGTAACTAGTAACTAGTGTTGCAACGATACCGATACTATCCTAAAATGGTGGTATCGGTATCAGCGAGTACCAACAAATAGGGCACCGATACCATTTTGAGAGCTATAAGTTTATTCAACTATTGTCACCCACTCCTGGTAGGCAATAAAAAGTTCTACTGGATTCACTTTGTGTTAGATTTTTTTCTGCTTCACAAAGGTAGGCAACAGCTTGACAAAGCCATGATGGAAATTAGTTTACATTATTATGGTATTGGTATCGGCCGATGCTGCACAGCCAGGTATCGGGTATCGGTATCGGGGCCAAAAACTGGCATCGGCGCAACACTAGTAACAACATTGAGGTGCCATAATAACTATGCTGTTAACTTCAGAGAAATTAGGCTTTGAAGATCTCTATCTATCATATCACAGAAATCATTCATTAAGTTAGAATTCTACCAAAAGGACAGACTGGCAATATCAGACATTTTTATTTAATTTAATTCAGTGGCACTTTCCATAAATAGAGGCTATGGGTGCATAGAAAGCAAACCACGAAAGCACAGAGAAGAACCATGCATGCACCTACTGTATGTGTGTGTTTTATTGAGGCCTTGTGATACAAAATCTGCACACTTAACATTCAAAATGCCTGGAGTTTAGTTATGTGGGTCTGGATTAAATAAACCTGCTCAGATGAGTTTTTGTTGCATGTGTGCTCTTTTGGCAGAACTCTGACTTCATATTAATCACTTAATAATCTATTAATGTATTTAGTGATATAAAGTGTTAAATATGGAAGTTAGGTCCCCCTGAAGGCGGCTGCGCCTCGGAACTTCCCTACCGCTTCTTTTCCTGGGAGGAAGTTATTTACTACTTTTAACTCAAATTGGGTAAATCCATATAAAAAAGGTCTGTAAAACAGGAGTAAAACACGTAACAGAGTTTATTCCAGATCAAGTCGTTAAAGGACAGAGAAATTGCTTAGGGTTGGCACAGCTGTGGGCTCAAAAAAACGTCAGCGAGCGTCCAGCAAAGATTGAGCAAAGATTGACCCCAGGACAAGGTCCTCTCCTCCTCCTTATACCTCATGAGTCCATGTTTTGCATCAGCTTTGCATGCTTAGCTGTCCGTATCAGAAACTGACACGCCACCCATACCTTGACCTTTATGCATCTTGCATCTTTACCCCAGAATTACACATAGCTCTCCTTTATCATTCCGGCTCCAAGATGTGAATGCACATGATGTATAAAGAATAAACCTAACAAAAGACATCAATGCTTCATGGATATAAAATACTATTTATGATCAGATTTTACCATCACACGTTTACAGTAAACAATCTGGAAATAACAGCATTTCGAAATTAAAAAGTCAAGCTGTCGAGAAACAGAATGTAAAATACAAGAAAAGACCTATTGAGGTAAAAAAGAAGAGAAATCGAATATCAGATGTATTTCCTAACACTCATACAGTGCCAATATCTTTTTTTGAAGAGAAGAACTTGTGCTTCATCTGTTGGGAGGAGTAACAATCATAATATTAGCTAAAAAGAAGGATTTAACAAGCTCATCAAAGCTGTTATCTTTATATATGTATATATATATATATATATATATATATATACTCAGAGTATCTGATATTTTGGAGAGTGTTTTAAAACTGTGAGAGGATTTATTAGTGAAAATTTTACAGCCTTTTAAACTTTTTTTTCTTAAAGACTCTGGCTGCATAGTGGCAAGACTTTAGCTTAAGAAAAAAAAAGTGAAATTTAGTTTGATAAGATCCACGTCCTTCAATTGTTCTGTCACAGATGCTTGAGGAGAACATTGTTGAATTTATAAGAAAAGAGCTGAAGACGTTCCAAAGCCTTTCACAAAATTACAAAGAAACCAGGCAGAGCCAGGGAGAAGATGCAGGTGAGAAGAGGAGCAGCAAAGACGCTTTTCTAAGCATCATTCTAAAGTTTCTAAGGAGGATGGAGCACATGGAGGTCGTCCCCTCTCTGCTGAAAAGTAAGTGCCTTTTCATGTTTTTTCATGCTTTTTATGTAGAATCTCTGCTGGTATTTCTACAATAAAAATACTAATAAATAATAATAAAAATAATAAAAGAATCAAATAAATATAATAATAAATCAGGAATTAAGATGTTAATGTCATCAATCAACATTCATAAATGTTTTTTTCTGCCTCTCATCAGTATTTTTAGCTATGCAAAAGATGTCTGCTATGCAAGACATTAGCTCTTTAAACAAATATAGTATAAAACTATATCTAATGATCACTTTTAAGTGATCTTTTTAACTTTAATAGATAGTAAAGGTAGTGGAGATGAAAATAATTATTTGAAGTGATTACAAAAAAGTAAAAAAAAAATTCACTGGACTTTGAAGACGTTTCCCTTCCCATTCAGGAAGATTTTTCAATTCAAAATGTCTGGATTAGCATTGAGTTCCAAGAGTAGCTGAACTTTTAAAATAGCTTTGCATGTGGTAAATGTTCAGATTTGCATTTCCTCCACTCAAAAATTTTTTACAAATTATGTTTGCCGAAATCCATGCACAAATCAGCGGAATCCAAATCATAATTCTGGAAAAGGTGAGAAAAAACAAATCCTGCAATGATGTTATCCGGGTAATTGCGTGCTGAATGTGTGTCATGCTCAGGTCTCCTCATATGTCGGTGTGAGGTGAAGGAAAATGATGACATAAAACCAACACCAGATAGGTAAGATAACTTAAAATTTTTAACTACACATATTTTTCACCTTCCTTTTTTATTAGTTTTGTGATGTTTAAATCAAAAGGTCAAAAGTCTCCTTAAAGTATTGATTGTCGGTTTAAATTACCTGTAAAGTATTTTCCAGACAAATAGTGAGAAGTGATTTCCTCCTTTTCTTGAGAACAGGCTTAGAAAGTTGTTCATGCAATTTAGCTGCTTTTCAGGTGCTGTAGAGGAATAAATCCCTTCTGCTCTATAACAATTGCAGCTGCGCCGTATGGCCGAGTGGTTTTAGGACTCTGTTTACCAAGGACAAAAGGAACCTGTCTGGATTATTTAGATTCCTAGCCATCCCCTAATAAAGTTTAGAAGTAAAGAGTGTTGTCGTGCAAAAGTATAAAAGTCAGAGGTTTTAGTGAACGGTTTTAAATCCAGAAATGGGCCAGACTAAAGCTGCACTGTTTAAAAAATATATATATATTTTTTCAGGGGACTTTATGCTCTAGCATCCCCTAGTGTCTATCTGTGCACATCCATGAAGCTGATATTGACGTATAAGTCAAATTTTGTTGCTTGTGCACACTACTTGGCTCTTAAAGTTGATTTGGATTCTTAGGTAAATTCCATAATGACTAGATGACAAATATGATCTCGATTGCATTGCGATTGGTCAGGGTCTTATCAGGCGCATCTTCCTGTTCATCAGAAATGTTGACACACAATTTGAAAAGCCTATCATAAGAGAATATTTCTAACTCTACAAACAATATAAACCCATATATTATTGCCATAAGATGTTATGCAGCAAAATCAACTTAATGTCAGATATTTGATCTCCTAAACAGATGCCAAATCTCCTCAAAATGTCATTTTGTGCAGATGTACCGAGGAGGAGAATTTAAGGCTTTAAATCACAAATAAATTACATATTTCCCCTTTTTTGTGTAAAAGATGTCATATTAGCCAGTTATGAACATACACTAACATTAATGTCTTAACACTCAAGTTAGGATTATTTTTAAAACAACCTGTACAGATAAACAGAGATTGATACATATTCTTAAACTTTACTTTTTTATTTTAACTCCATTATGATTTATAACTTGTAGTAGCGACATATCTATATGTGCCTTTGCCTAAATATTACATGTGCTGCTCTCCTTTTAGGTCTGAACAGGGAAACATAAAGCCTATCCATTATCCAGCTGGGTTCAAACAGTAGGTTTTATCTGTATCTTTATCTATTAAAAAAGAATAGTAGTATATAGGTTTTCTGTTTATAGGACTAAATATAGTTTAACCTAAACAATGAATCTCTCCATAGAGATCATCAGAACCCATCAGAGGACTTCAAAACCCACCAAACAACCCTCAGCTCAGTTTTTCAGGTTGGTAAATCTGTCACTGGATTCAACGAGACAGGCTGATTGCTTTCCATTACATGTAGTTTCATTTTGGCTACCTCCTCAAAATATCCAGAATTAGAGGCTCTTAGAGTCTGGATGCATAACCATGAACTAGAGCAGAATCACCAAGTTTATTTTTCATCACAACATTTTAATGGATACCTGTTAAAAATCCTGTAAAATATTTTAAACATTTGAAAACATTGGTTAACAGAACTGACATTCATCTATGGAAAGATAGTTTATTCTTTAAACATCAAATTTCCACCGGAAATCTTTCCTAAATCATCCCCAAACACATTATTTTCCAGGTTTCAAGTCTAGATTTTACAGGAGGGTTAAATGATCATATTGTTTCTCTAATGTGCATTTCAGTATGTAATACATCTTTTTTTTTTTTTTTACAGAATCTTGAGGAGGATATTATAAACTTTGCCAAGAACGAGCTGAAGATTTACCATGAGATTTTAAACTCAGATTGCCCCGAATCCTTTGAGAACCAAGAGGTAGAGGAGGTTATTTATGAACATGAGGAAGAAAGGAAAAACATGAAGAAGGCGTTTTTGGAAATTTCTCTTGAATTTATGAGAAACATGAAGCAAGAAGATCTTGGTCAAGTCCTGCTGAACAGTAAGATGACTTTAGTTTATATGTATGAGTGTTTCTCATTTTCTAACCATAATCTTTCTATTTTTGTAATGAGATTCTATCAATTTTGTGGGAATATTCTTTATGATTTGTCCTCTTTACTCTGATACTCCTAAATAAAATCATGTATTGACTTAAATGTCCAGGAATATACCGAGCTTTGCCAACCATTGTACTCCTCGTCTTCCTATTTATCCTGGACCAGCAGTCTTTGCAGAGCTACCTTTCAGAAACCTTATCCTTAAATGTCTCTAGTTGAAGCCCAATGCCTTTCAAGTTGAGTTGAAAGACATTATCCCTTCAGCATTTACTGGACCATCCAAGTCTTTCCTCAGCTAATTTCAGAGGGGCCAGGTTCCCGAATCCAGAGATTCAGAAATTTTGTAATTTTAATCAACCTTTCATTAGAAAATTAAGAGTAAGACCCATCCACAAACATACCAAGACATTTTAAAAGCTTTTAAGCTTTTCAAAGAAATAATTTATCAAAAGATTCAGTAAGATATTAAGCTTCAAGTAAATCTGAATAATTAACATACAGATCTAAAAGTCTAGAAGAAAGAAGGGCCTAGACCTGTAGTTCTATAAAGTATAGTACTATCGTCAACAATTTTATTTATAAAAACCTTTGAAAGCATTTTTTTTTTATTCCTATTTAAAAATACTATTGATAGTACCGGTAACAGTGATGCAATAACAAATGTCGATTTTAATGGAATTCTAAGGAACTACTTCACAAATAGTTCACAAACTATTTGTCATGATTTTACTAAAGTTCAGACCCAAATGCAGAAGACCAAACAGGTAGACCAGGAGAAAATGTTTAACAGGTTTTATAAAAGAGATAATGCAGAGAGAAGTGTTGCTCTGAACAATGCTCAACCGGAACTGAAAAGTGAGGGGAAGGCACAGCGATTAGTTCAGGCTCAGTGGGAAAATAGATTTGTGAACTTGGAGAAGAGGATTTGGTTGCTGACTCACATTTCCAGAGAATTTGTTGAATCTTTGACTCCAGTTTGTATGCTGTAGTTCCAGTGTTTGTCTGATTCGGAGGAGGCCGGAACAGGGTTTACCCAGAATGCGGTTGTTTGTAGGTGAACTGAGAAATTGACTGCCACTTAGATTTCCTGCGGTACTTGAACGGGTCGTAATGGAGTTGAATCCCTTTCTCAGTGTGAAGCTCCAACGATCTCTTGGGGAAAGTGGATCCAAACCTCCTGTTTGAACCCCAGCTCAGTTTGAAGCTCAGTTGATCCTTCCAGGTAGAGAAGGTCCAAAAATCCAGTTTGCAGGATAACTTCCTGCCGAGAGGCAAAAGACAAACAATGTTAAAACTCAGGTAGACAAAAACTCAGTTTGACTCAGCAAAACTCAGCTTGGCTAGAGTACCCCAAACAGGCAAACACTCTGGCGTCAAGGTAGTGGCAGTCAGCAGGTTAAGAACACTCCGTTAACGAGGAAACCATCAGCAGGTGTGTGAGGAGGCGGACCAGAACCAGGCGCCCCCTGGGGGAGGAAGGGAGACAAACACAGAACACAAACACATAGAGAGGAGTCCTGACACTATTTTCTTGGGATTCATTGAAGCATTCGTCCGTCTGTCCTGCCGTCCCTCCATCCATCCATCCATCCATCCATCCATCCATCCATCCATCCATCCATCCATCCATCCATCCATCCATCCATCCATCCATCCATCCATCCATCCATCCATCCATCCATACATCCATCCATCCATACATCCATCCATCCATACATCCATCCATCTTGAGGTGTATATCTCCAGCAGTCTATGGACTAAACACAGGGTCCTGTCAGGAGGTGTAGAAGTTTGTAGCTCGACCCAAGCTGCAGAGGCAAAAGCAGAGATAGTTTCTAGTAGGTTAAATGTTGAGGGCTGTGGTATAAATCCTAAAATAATCTGGCAAGGAACATGGGAACCAGAACAGAGTAAACAGGGGGAGATTGACAACAACTGATATGGACATGAAATAAAGACGAAGATCCAGCAAAGATAAACTGCAGAGGAGGGGTGTATATATACACCGGAGAGGACTAATAATCTGAGAAAGAACAAGAAAACCAATGGGAGAGGAGGTGAAAGTAGGGGCAATGGAGTAACTGGGAAATATAACGTAAAAATAACTGTAAACAATAAATTACAAGATAAAACTAGAGCAAAGTCTAAGGAATGCTGAATGGGAGATAACTGAAACGCCACCAAACAGGAGAAGAAGTAATTCAAAAAAGATGCATCCCTTAACAGTAAAAGCAGAATAACATACATTTAAGCCTAACTGAAAACCCAAAGTGAAAACTAAACAGAACCAAAAATGTCAGGAGGGCAGACCATAACAGGTACATCCTGGACAGGTTGTCAGTCTATAAGAGGGCTCATTTTGGGCAACAAAATCAAATAAAAGAGGTTTCTAATTATTTTTATAATTTGTTTGGTTAAAGTTTGACACATTTAGATGTTAAGACTTTACAAAAGCTGCCGTTTTGTTTATGTCTTCCAGGGAGTGTGGTAACCATGTGTCAGCATACACTTAAATCTAACCTGAAGAGCAGGTTCGCCTACATGTTTGAAGGAATAAACACAGATGGAAACCCAACACTTCTCAACCAGATCTACACCGAGCTTTATATCACTGAAGGAAACCCTGCGGAGGTTCACAGTAAACATGAGGTGAAGCTGATTGAAAGAGCGTTTTTGAAACCAACCAAACCAGAAATAACGATTAGACGTGAGGACATCTTCAAACCCTCCACAGTGAAAGATAAACCAATCCGAACAGTGATGACAGAGGGAGTGGCCGGCATTGGGAAAACAGTCTTGACCAAGAAGTTTGTATTGGACTGGGCAGAAGGCAAAATTTACCAAAAGTTCCAGTTCATGTTTCCATTAACTTTTAGAGAATTAAACATATTGATGAGGAAAAAGCTTAGTTTGGTTGAACTTATTCACCTTTTCTTTCCTGAAATCAAAGAAGCAGGAATCAACAGCTTTGAAGACTTTAGAGTGTTGTTCATTTTTGATGGTCTGGATGAGTGTCGACTTCCTCTGAACCTGAAAACCGAGGAGATCCTGACTGATCCTGCAGAACCCGCATCATTAGAAGTTATGCTGACAAACCTTATCCGGGGTAGGTTACTTCCCTCAGCTCACATCTGGATCACAACTCGGCCTGCAGCGGCACATCAGATCCCGCCTGAGTTTGTTGACCTGGTGACCGAAGTCAGAGGATTCAACGACCCTCAGAAGGAGGAGTACTTCAGAAAGAGATACACTGAAGAAGAGGAGAGCAGGAGGATCATTTCTCACATCAAAGCATCAAGAAGCATCTTCATCATGTGTCACATCCCTGTCTTCTGCTGGATCTCGGCTACCGTTCTGGAGGATGCATTTAAAACCAAGGAGAAAAGAGACTTACCCAAGTCCCTGACAGAGATGTACGTCTCCTTCCTGGCGGTTTTATCCAAAGTAAAACATCTCAAATATGATCAAAGAACAGACACAGATCCTATCTGGACTGAGGAGACCAGGGACGTGATTCAGTCTCTGGGGAAACTGGCATTTGAACAACTAATGAAAGGAAACCTGTTCTTCTATGAATCTGACCTGACGGAGTGTGGCATCGATGTCATAGCCGCCTCAGTTTATTCAGGATTGTTCACTGAGATCTTTCTGGAGGAGAAAGGGCTCTTTCATGAGAACGTTTTCTGCTTTGTCCACCTGAGCATTCAGGAGTTTCTGGCTGCTCTTCATGTCTATCTGACATTCACCAACACTGGAGTCAATCTACTGTCAGGAGACACTTCAACTTCTACCACCTTTGAGGATTTATACCAGTGTGCTGTGGAAAAAGCTTTACAGAGCCCAAATGGACATCTGGATCTGTTCCTTCGGTTCCTCGTGGGTCTCTCACTGAAAACCAATCAGACGTTCCTGGAAGGCCTCATTACAGTAAAAGAAACAGGAAGCAGCTCCATAGAGCACACTGTCCAGTACATCAAGAAGAAGATTGGAGAGAACGTTTGCATTTTGAAGAACAACAACTTGTTTCATTGCCTGAATGAGCTAAAAGACTGTTCACTAATGGAAGAGATCCAAGCCTACCTAAGACCAGGGAGGCTACCAGCAGACAAACTGACGCCTGCTAAGTGGGCAGCATTGGTCAACATTATATTGTCATCAGAGCAAAAGTTGGAGACATTTTACCTGAAAAAGTACTTTGAATCAGACAAGGCTTTACTGGGCCTTGTAACAGTGGTCATAAATTCCACCAGGGCAGAGTAAGTTAAAGCGCAGCAACAATAAAGTAGATATATATATATATATTAATAATGTAAAATGTGTATTTTGAATATTATAATTTCAGGATGAGTTCCTGTAATCTCACCGAAATTGGCTGTGATGGTTTAGCCTCGGCTCTCCAGTCCAAATGTCTAGTTCTGACGGAATTGGATCTCAGTAACAACGACCTGAAAGATTCAGGAGTGAAGCTGATCTGTGAAGGCCTGAGCGTTCCTCACTGCACACTGGAAACTCTCAGGTCAGGATCCACCTTTTAACAAAAAACTTTGAAAACATTTCTTTTTTTTTATTTCAATAAAGTTAGTTTCATTTTTTTTTATCTTAAAAGAGCCAATATAACTCTTGCTTTAACTGTCTGTATTTTCCTATGTTTTTCTAAGAGGTTTCAAATGAGCTGTTTATTATTATTTTTATATAAAGCTAATGTATGTACTTTTGTACCTGATACATAGATTGCTTGGTTGAAAAACAAGTTGTTTTCAGAGTTGTTCCCTAGTTAAAACATTAAGTGCTAAAAATATATACTTCAAAAAATATTACCCATTAATCCTAATGTTTTTATTTTTTGTGTAAAGCCTGTCAGGCTGCCTCATCACAAAGGAAGGGTGTTTAGAACTGGTTTCCGCTTTAAAGTCCAATCCCAACCACTTGAAAACCTTGGATGTGAGCTACAACCATCCAGAAGAATCTGGAGTGAAAAATCTTTTTGCAGCACAAGAGGACCCACAGGTTGCATTGCAGACTCTCCGGTAAGAACACACCACTGCATACATAGAGCTTTAAAAACAAAATACTAAAATAATTATTTTCATCACTTCTCTAAACTTGGCTCAGTTTTTACCTTTGATTTATTTCAGGATCGAGCCGAATGGGTCGAAGTTCCTAAAACCTGGTCTGATGAAGTGTGAGTATAAAAGAAAATCTTTACAGAAACGTTTTATGCAAAAAAAAACCCAATTAAAAAACTAGAGAGAGCTTAAAACGCTACACTCTAAATCTGTTCCTTCTCCTTAGAACTGAAAAATAAACATAGCAATAGTTTTTCGTCTATAATTAACCAAAACTACTCATTTTATATTACATTTACTTAAATAATTTTCTGTAATTCTATTTCAATATTGTTTAAAATACATTCATATCCAATAAGCAAGATTATGTTTAAAAGTTTATTTGCTTTTTAATACGTTTTACTCTGGTAAACTTATTAATTACTAATAGAATGAGTGTGAAGTGTTTATTTTTAATAGTTAATACTTTTTTGTACTTATGGCTAATAAAAAACACACTATTTACATTATTGACACTTCAATAATATCCAGGAATGTGAGATTAATGAAGAGAGATTAATGATATGAAAAAATTTGAAGCATGTTGCTTAAACGTAGATATTTCAAATTATAACTTTAATCTGGCAACTGAAGCCAAATAAAAAAACTAATTCTTATTTGAAATTATATATGCTTTACTTTTTAGCCAAATTTGACTCATTAAAAGTAAAATATCTCACTATGCATCAAGAGATCTATTGAAAGACTGAACAAATAAAGTGCTTTTTTTCCCATCAGATGCCTGTGAACTCATGCTGGACCCGAACACTGCTCACAAGAACCTTATACTGTCCGATAACAACAGAAAAGTGACGATGGGAGGAGAGAAGCAGCCATATCCTGATCATCCACAGAGGTTTGATGTCTTGGAACAGCTGCTGTGTACAGAAGACCTTACAGGTCGCTGTTACTGGGAGATTGAGTGGAGAGGAAGAGTTTACATCTCAGCAACATACAAGAAAATCAAAAGGAAAGGAGAACGTGATGAGTGCAGCCTTGGAGGGGATGATGAATCCTGGAGCTTGCTGTGCTCTGATGATGGTCACTCTGGCCTGCATGAAAACAAAATAACTCCCATCCAAGGAGCTCCTTCAAACAGAATAGGAGTCTACCTGGACTGGCCTGGTGGCAGTTTGACCTTCTTTGGGGTGATGTCTGGCAGAGTCACCCACCTTCAGACGTACCACACCAGATTTACAGAGCCCGTGTTCCCAGCTTTCAGGATCTCCACTGAGCCGCCAAATTCATCTTTGTTTTTCTGCATTTAGCAGAACATATAAGGTCACACGCTCGTTATTGAATATGGAAGGACATTGCTTTTGTGGCAAAATATGTAACAGAGGGCCCAGATGGGATTCGATTCCAGACTCTATAATGAAAGACATGTTCCCTTATATTGAAAAGTATATATCCCTTCGCTAATTAGCCAGGATGCACGAGGCATAATGACAGGACTCCACACTGTCACACATTTAAGTGAAAAGATGATAATTTTTACAAATATAAATGTTGTTTTCTGAATTAACAAAATAGATAAAAACTTTTCTAAATTAACACGACAACAAAGTAAGCAAATATTATATAGTGAAGAGAAAAGCTTGTAGGCAAACAACCGTGCCATGAGAAGCGCCCAGTGAGCAAGTCGACAAAATAATAGTGATTGCATCTACATAACTAATTCAATCTGAGAAACTCACATGAAGAGAAAAGACAATTATAAGAAATTTATTGACACAATTACTCTTTGGCGCTCAGACCTCGGCAGGAAACATAGAGCTTAAGTTTTATCGATATGGATGAACAGGAGCAAAGAATATGGCTTAAACTGGTGGTGGAGTGGAGATAGATGAAGTTGGTCAGTCTGTAGACTGCTGGCTAGACTATATGCTGAGCTTTATGGGGAGATCCAGTGGACTGCGTGGGCTGATACTAGAGCTTCACTCAGGGACCTGGAAGATGGAAGTCCAGCTTGGATAACACAGGTTCAGAGAACCTGTCCATGATGAGCAAGCATGAGCGACAGTGGAGAGGAAAAACTCCCTGTTGGGAAGAAACCTCTGGCAGAACCAGGCTCAACATGGCGGTCTCCCACCGGACCGGTAAGAAGAGACGTGGAATGCAGTAAGAGTCCGGGAATGCTTTAGCTGCAATGGTGGAGGAGGAGCTGGAGGTGGTTGAAACGGATCATCCGAATGAAGTCAGACACGGCATCCGCCACCTGCACACTTAGAAGCAGACCACCAGATCGGAGGCCTTTAAAGATGGACTTGGATGCTGATTGGCTTTGGTGGAAGTGTTGTTCAAAGCTGATTAATTGAGTCACAGGTGATATAGGAGAGCAATTAGTTTCTTCAGTTGAACTGCCTAAGCTCCAAAACACAGATTAATTACCAGTTTAATTAATTCCAATTATGTATTTCTTGTTTACCCTCTGTTGCCCCCTTGTGTCAGTCTCCTTCTCTAGCTTTCTTCTAGATTCTTCCATCCACACTGGCTCCTCATCTGCTGATAGCCCAGCTCTTGTGCATTGCTGGTTTCTGTTCATTCCTTTGCTCCTCGTGTATGTTTTCCCTGACATCCCCCCTTTTGGTTTTTGCTTCTGCTGCTTTTTGGATCTGCATTAAATCTTGAAGAATCCACTTCAGCTTCCATCTCTAAAAACCCTCAGACAACCTGACACTGACGGAAAGACGCCTCTTGCTTAGAAATCTGCCATCTCCAACAGTAACAAAACATCTGATATAAAATCACAGCAGCATTGGGTTAATTCAGAAAAACAGAACTTTTAAAAATTTGTTTTAAATAGTTAATTCTCAGAAATTGAATGTTTTTATATATATTTGTAAATATTATCTCATTAATTCAGAAAAGCAAACCCATTTCTTTTTTTTCCTTGGTGAATGCAATATGCTTCTGTAATTTAAACTGCATTTACTTTTTTGTCACATTTTGTAATATAAAGTAGAAATATTTGGTGAATTTAAAATTGCTTTATTATTAATGTGTATCAATTATAATATATGTAACTGGCAACCATATTTGGACATAGCTGTCATGGTGAAAATAATCCTAAACTAGATTGAACCTGTTTAGATTTTATTTTAGTGTTAATGGTTTTGTGGCAGTGCTGCTTGCATGAAAGTTACAGAAACATGAAAATAATAATGCACTGGATAAAAGGTTCATCATTTAAATGTTTTTCTTTCAGACAAAATATTTTGTTTGTTTAAACAAGACAATTTACTGTTAAAATTATCTGTTGGCTTTAGATCTGTGATTTGATGTACAAATAGCAGAAAACAAGTGATTAAAGATGGTCCAGAGATTTACTCATCAAAAAAAAAAAGTAAAGATTTTTATTAAATAAGAACTTCAACAGGTCCATGTTGTTGTTTTTTTTTCTCTTTGATTGAAAATTCTTCCACCAGTTTGCAACTACATATAGTTTCGATCACGGCTATCCTATCCAGGCCATTTACATCCCTCAGAATGATTTTGTTCCTGACCTGAAATTTTAAAAATGGTCCTGGTCCCAAGCAGCCCCTCTTTTTTAGGGATTTTTATTTTTTTTCAACATAGAACACATTTTTCTTACAATAAAAAAAAAAGATTCAACACAAAATTTGATTCCTTTATTATCATATTTCCCTTCTTTCATCTAGTCTTATAATTGGTATAACATTAATACTGGCCTCTTCATTGATTAACATGTCTTTACACAGCAAGCATCGTCCCAGATGCTGTTCTTTTTTCTATGTACAGAAGAGGATTAGGGCCACTGAAAAAAAAAATTAACCGATTTTTACATATTATTTTAGTTTAATATAAGAAAAAAGTCAGAGTTCTGACTTTTATGTTAGAATATTGATTTTATTCTCTGAATTCTGACTTTAATCTCACAATTTTGGATCTTAATGTAGATGGGCACCCTGTAGGAAGAGACGTTGGAGCTCTCAGCTTCACTGACAAAGATGTGAGTTGTTTGGGAGGGCCAGTAACACATTGGTGGAAAATGGTGGAATTAGGTGACTTTTTACATGCCCAAGTAGTCCCCAGTGATGCTATTTTAATAATGGAAGAGCAGAAGGTGATTAAAACAAGAGAGCTAGTTTAGTCTCTAAAACACATGGCTACGGCTCGATGCTAACATGTTTGTTAGCTGTCAGAATTCTGAGATTAAAGTCAGAATCTTGAGAAAAAAGTCAGAATTATAAGATTAAACTCATAATTCTGAGAAAAAAAGTCAGAATTCTGACTTTTTTCCCCATATTAAACTGAAATAATGTTTAAAAAATCACTTAACTTTCTTTTATTTTTTCAGTGGCCCTAATCCTCTTCCATATACATTTGATATCTGACCTGAAACATCATTAATCATCTAGCAGAGGTTGGGGACTGCAATGCATTATTTGATTGCTGTGAAGTTCGCCGAATTCTGCTGATCCTCATACTATGGCTGATTTCAAGAACTGAAAGAGAAAACAAAATGTTAGATTTTAATCAAAACATAATGGGTTATGCAAGAACTCCCTTTTTGCACTTTGATGTTAATGCAATACCCCCCAGAGGACAGCAGGTGTCACAATTATAATTTCTGATATGATTTAGCATAGTTGACAGCCATTTCTCCCCTTAAATTGTAAAAGAAATATAATTATCAGATGGAATATTGAAGCTGAAATATCAATTTTCCTATCATTATATTTAAAATTTGTAGGATTTTAACATTAGTGGGCAACATCCACCAGAGGTATTACTGATATTGGATTAAAAAACTTGTCATCTCACCTGATTGAAGGAGAAGCTTGCAATCCTGCAGTCACATGACAGATTTAGCAGATGAGCCTGAAAGCGATCTGAGACAAGAACCACATCCTTAAAATTTGTCTAAAACTTTCACCTAGGAAAAATCATTAATATATATCTACCATCATGGAGTTTATGAAACTATAGAAAACACAACTCCAAAAGTATTTAATAAATTCTAAAGGGTTTTGACATAAAGAATACCAAGTGATGCAACAGACAAGAGTAAAAGTACCTTTTAGTATTTTAAGTTTAGTCAGGGCTGCAACATAACTGTCATAATCAATTCCATCGTTGGAGCCGTATTCAAACCAAAGCGCTCTGAAGGTTTCCTCATCTAAATTAAAATCTGCAAATTAGAAACTAGAGATTAGTCCAATAAACAGATTAAGAAACAAAAAGGTTTTCCTTACAAAGAAAAAATACTGATGTAACTGGAATTAGATTACAATAATATTACTGAAAAATATGTACAAACAGAAGGTCAAGCAGCACAATTGCAAAAATATTTTTACTTCGGAAATCTGTGAAATCAGGAAAAAAAAAACACATTTGCTGCAAATATGTATAAAATATCAATTTGTTACATCATACCGTGGGAAATAACAGCATTTTTCATCTGGCGCTGTGTGACAGCAGATGGAGTCCTGCTCTCATATTTTTCCACATATTCTCTCCTGATTACAGCCACGTAATGTTCCAGTTTGAATAACTCCACCACATCCAGGTCTCCTGTCTTATCTGCCTGAAAACTACGGTTAAAGAAATAAAAATATTAAAATCTAAAATAATTCATTGATAAAGGTTTCTCCTTATTTACTTATTGTTTAGTTTGACGCGCATAGTTGCATTTCTCCATAATTATATATCCACACCTAATCTAGTAAAAACAAAAACAAAAATAGTGTTCAGCACGACAGGTGTGTATTAGTAATGCATTACAGAAATAACGATTAACTGCTTTTAATACAGCAGCATAATAAAATCACATCTTTTTCTTATTAAATAGAGAAATCAGTCATGGGTACTTCAAATCTGACATCATCATCATCATGTAAAAATAAAGTAATTCAGATTCTAATAATAAAATGTTAATTCTATTGATGATCAACCCTGCAAAACTTTACATTTTCAGCTTTCAAAAACTCCTGAAAGTTATAAAAGAATAAATTTAATACATGATTTAATCCACCATGGTAATACCATTGATCCCAGATAGATCCAGTGGAGCGAAGTAACAAAGTACCGTAAATGTACTTGACTGCTGTACTTAAGGACGTATTTTGAGTATCTTTACTTGAGTAATTTTTTTCTAACTTTCACTGCATTTCATTAGCAGGAAGCTGCTAGTTCCTTCTGGCTCAGCTTAGCTTTGTAATCCACTGTTGCTGTTTTTCTTTTTTGCATAGAAATTTCAACATGCAACGTAACAGCCCTTATGACTGAATTTGGACTCCACTGTTTTAGAGATTTAAGGACATTCCAAACATGTGAGAAACCCAGGGCAGATATTATTTGTATTTGAAAATTTTACTAAGGTGTTAGTTGTTGCCATTTGACCTAGTTGTTCAGTAGGATGAGTCTTAAAGCAGAGTTGTGGTTTATTTGTGGTAATAGATTCAACCTTAAACCTTTATTCCATAGTGAAAGTGTGAAGAGAATCAAGACTCTCCTGAATTATTTTTGGTTTGCTTTAAATAAGAAACACTAATCAACATGGCTGCCGTTTTTTTGTGGCATTTTTATGCTGAAGTTATTTACTGAAGGTTTTGAATCTCTAGCAGGTGGTTCTATGCATCAATACATTAGGTGGTTTCTGAAAGTTACAAGATTCTTTAAAATAACGCCTTTAAAATTATTCACAAATGTACTGATATAAGATAATATAATTAGTATTTTTGAATACTCAAGTGCTTTGAATGTATGTATGTCATACTCCGGTCCCTGGGTCCAGGCCAGGCTTTTTCTCTCTCTCTCCTCAGCAGGGATGGACGGGCAGGTGCACTACATCTGAGCTGCTTACTATCCTTCTTAAGGAGCTGGAACCAGGAGGTGGGCGTCAGTTTGTTAACGCCTCAGTGTTGGTACAGACCAAACCTTGTCCTGTTCCTGCGACTCAAACCTTAGTCTAAACTCTGCTTTTGCACCTTCTTTGCAGAACTTTGGACTCTGACCCTGAAACCCAGCCTGGAATCACAGACCTTGGATCCCCGTCAGAACGCAACCAGGAACCCGAGAGGGATCTCGGAACGATCCACCGCTCAGCCCTCCTGCCTGCGCTCACCTGCCTGTCCACCTTCGAACCATCAACCAGGGAGAGAGTACTGGACCAGCACTTGGACCACTGGAGACACTCCCCCTAAGATCGGACCACAGCCTCTCTCCAGTGAGTTATCAGCCCAGCATAATCCACCAGCAACTGTTTGCATTCATTCACCAGTCTCCAGAGATGGCAAAAGTACTCACTTTCCGTACTTGAGTAAAAGTACAGATACTTGTGTTAAAAAATACTCTGGTAAGAGTGGAAATACTGATTAAACTTCTTTACTCAAGTAAAAGTAACAAAGTACAGGCTTGTAAATTTACATAAAGTATAAAAGTAAAAGTAGAAACCACTTTTTTCATGCCGTTGCCTACATTTTAAATGGATGTCTGCCAATAGGACTAGATCTCCGTTGTGTTCATTTTCAATCATCTCGTCGTCCATACTACTATGCTAACGCCACCGCCACCAAGCTGCAATGATTTGCCGTGAATGAATACCGCCGAATCTGTCGATTCATCTTGTAGTGGTGCGTCAAATGCAACGTAGATTCCCATCCAATTAGATTGAATTTGGTATCGATGACGTGAAAAATAATAACGGTAACTCCATTGAAATGATTCAAAACTAAAGTAACGAGCCAATTTTTTAAAATGTAAGGAGTAGTAAATACAGATATTTGTGTATAAATGTAAGGAGTAGAAGTAAAAAGTCGCCATAAAAATAAGTAGTAAAGTAAAGTAAAAATATCAGAAAAATCTACTTGAGTACAGTAACGAAGTACAAATACTTCCCATCTCTGCCAGTCTCCTCATCTTCTCAGCAGAAGCCCAGAAGAACCAGACCAGACCACACAGCTTCTTGTACGGACCCACTATCCTTTTCAATAAACCTTTAAACCTACAACCTGCCTCTGTAGTTGCTCTGGTTCAGAGTCATCTTCTAACCATAACAATGTACTTTTGCATACCTAAATACTTTCAAAAGTGAGTAGTTTAATACTTTAACTTGAGTAGATGTTTGACCGAGTAACTTTTACTTGCAATTGGTTAAAACTGAGAGTATAAATATTTTTACTGAAGTACTACTGTTGAGTGATTCGTCTATATAGGTAGGTTGCTGAAAGAAATCCAGATGGATTCTACCAGCATATTTTGGAGCAAATCTTAAAAAAAATATCCACAATTGTTTTAAAAGAATCCCACATATTCATTTAAAAGGATACATCCATCAGTACCAACAGCAGGTGTGCAGTCTTTAGAGTAAGAGCTGTGTTCAAACAATAAAAACAAAGATTAGTAAAACTGCTCCTTTTCTCTATATATTTTAAAACAATGAATACAAACTGACATTTGCCACTGACTGTATAGCCACCAGAATTTAGTTTAGCAAGAACATCTTCAGCTCTCAGCATCTGAAAAAGAGGAGAAAGACACTGATAAACACATTTTATGTTGGACTTGTCAGTCTGGTTGCGATGCGAATGCTGTAAGCGAAATAAAGCAAAGTGGCGTCAAACTTTTTACTGGAGAATAATTTGATAAACTGAGAAATCCAGCAATTATACCACTAGGTGTCAGGATAGCAGATTATTCTCTTCTTAAATGTTGATTGACTTTATAAAAAAGATATCCTCATATTATTTTTGTAGCTTATTTTGGTATTTTGGATTATTTTTCAGTAAATTTAAAAATAGCCTAATCTTGCTTATATATATAAATCTATGCTTGCTTTGGTTTCTCCTTAGTTTAGCTTTTTATGAGTAAAAAAAAAAAATTAAACAATAAGTGAAATGTACTTTTAGAAATTATTTCCCTATAGATCAAATATTTCCAGCTAGAACAAAGTAGAGGAGGGTGGATAGGATCCTATCCTCTCCTATTGATCCCAGTATTGATAAGTAGAGTGAGTATCAGCCTAGTGGTTAGGGCATTGCGTTTGGAATCCTGAGGTTCTGAGTTTGAGCCCCACTTCCACAGACTGCCACTATGGGTCCCTGAGCAAAGACCCTCCACCGGATGCCCCACGATGGCAACCCACTGCTCCCCAAGGGGATGGGTTAAATGCGGAGATATATTTCTCCAATGTGAGAACAATAAAATTAATTATTATTGTTGCGCCAATGGCCTTTTTTTGGGCCTGATTTCTGGCTGTGCAGTATTGGCCAATACCGATACCATACTGAAACCATCTGCTTGAAATTGATGTGTGTGTATATGAAGAACTGCAGTCTACTTGGATGTAAAACAATTGCCATAATGGCTTTGTCAAGCTTCTGCCTACCTTTGAGAAGCTGGAAAAAGACTAATACAAAGGGAATCCACTAGAACTTTTTATTGCCTATCTGGAATGGGTGACAATAGTTGGATAAACTTTTGGCTCTCAATATGGTATCGGTGCCCTATTTGTCGGTACTCGCCAATACCGATACCACCATTTTAGTGCCTGATGCTGGTATCGGTGCAACACTAATTATTATTAAGACCATTGTTGGTATTAATATTGAAAACTCGTGTGAAAAGTTCAATCCTTTTTTTTCTCTCCTGCACACACCGACTGTAGCAAATTCACTAAAGTCCCCCACAAATCTCTTTTACAATTTCTATGAAGAAGATAAAGATTTATAAAAGGATTTAAGGGTAAAATTACCTCCTTTCTGTTGTCTTCCTGAGGGAGAGAAAAAGAAAACAGTTAAACATGCAAATTAAAAAGATCTATCAATTAGGAAAAAGTTCTCAATAGTCTAGCATTCACGTCTTACTGATATGCACATGTCGTCTGGGAATGCATTACAGTTCAGCTCGTTTGGCCAGGAGACTCCAAAGTTGCTTATTAAACCTTCACAGTTTCTTCTGGCTTTTTCACAGAATGACTTGCATGGGCGCTGCGCTCGGCCCTCCACACACTCTGGGGCATACACCCTGCACAGAAACAGCTGTATGTCTGCAGAGCACACAGTCTGCACAATCGAGTTGAAGAAAGACATCTTCATCACCGCCTCCCTTTGACTTGTGTGGCCAAGAAGATTGGGGAGGATGGTCTGGTTGTAGGACAGGCCTTGGCACATCGGTATAGAGATTGGCTCGCACATCTCCATGGTGCTTCTCACTCCGTACTGCAGACACAAATGTAAACAGACTTTTTTTTGCATTTCTTTAACAGTTTTGCCCACAAGAACAAAACTAAGTGGTAAAAACATTTAGTTCCAATAGTCATTCCTATTAATTTAAAAATAGGGAAACACTTCAATTAGCAGAAATATTTATTGCAAAATGTAACATTTCATTAAAATTAGATAAATGGTTGTAATTAATTCTTGATTCTGCCCTCAAATTATATCAGTGGCACGTATTTAAGTCAAATTTCACAATAGTTGCAACAGGTTATATCACTAACAATAGTTTACATCTCTAGATGCACAATAAAGAATGTAGCCCAACATATGAAATCAGACATTCATCAGGTTACATAAAAAAATGCTAAAGATAAAGATTTCTTAGTCTTAACTAAAGTTATGTTCTTTAATGACAACATTCTTACATGAAGTCCCTAAAAAACTGCCTCCTATACTCAGAACTTCCTGTAAGGCAAGGCAAAGGCAAGGCAAATGTATTTGTATAGCACAATTCAGTACAAAGACAATGCAAAGTACTTTACATGATTAAAACATAGGAAAATAAAACAGAAGCAAAGCAAGTAGGGAAAAAATAAATTAAAAAATGCAGAAACAAAAAAGAATATTAAAAACAGTTGGTCTAAAGAAAATAAAAAAGTTGAGCTAATGATGTTTCAGTTGAACTGTTTAACTAGAACAGTGGAAGGCAATCTAAACAAATGTGTTTTTAGTCTTGATTTAAAGGAAATCAGGCTTTCCGCACTTTTACAGTTTTCTGGAAGTTTGTTCCAGATAAGTGGAGCATAGGAACTAAATGCTGCTTCTCCATGTTTATTTCTGGTTCTAGGTATGCAGAGCAGGCTGGAGCCAGAAGACCTGAGTGGTCTGGAGGGTTGATACACTGATAGCAAGTCTGTGATGTATTTAGGTGCTAAGCCATTCAGAGATTTATAGACTAACAGAAGTATTTTAAAGTCTATTCTCTGAGATACAGGGAGCCAGTGTAAGGACTTTAGAACTGGGGTGATGTGCTCTACTTTCTTAGTCTTAGTGAGGACACGGGGCCTCTATATTGCCTCTAACTGTTTAGCTTTTATCAATTCCTTCAAATGTGCAAATTAAATTAATGTATTCCTTATCATGTGGGCTTTGGTTTCATAAAGTTAGATTAGAAACCGTGTATGGTATGTCCAAAAAGTAAAAAAAAAATCCGCTGGACTTTGTTTCCAAGTTTGAAGACGTTTTGCTTCCCATCCAGGAAACTTTTTCAATTCAAAATATCAGAAATAGCATTGAGTGTGAAGCTTTATATAGTACCCCTGAAAACTTGTTTTGGCTTAGAAAACATGTATCTTGAACCAGAAGAAAAGGTCCGCCCTTTAGGAAGAGGGAGTTGTTTGAATTCTATGTTAGCCTGCAATATCTGATACTGGTCTATGCCTCTGAAAGTTTTTTTTTAGATGCAATTGTTTCTCTGGCTGAGTTGTCGTTGTAGTGGGGTAAAATGGTTCACTCTCCAAACTGCTGCACCACCCCCTCTACAAAACACTCCCATAAAGACATCACATTGGCTGATTTAAATTTGATTTTTAATTTCACCTAATTACAAACTAATCTTAGGTTATCTGTTGTAAAATTAATGTCAAATTGTAATAGGATTGCATCATTTTATTGATTGATTTAAAGCCATTTTTACGTCTATGCACATAGTATTTTGTTGAGCTTTAACAGAAATATGTTTGACTTGGAGTTGAATTATTTTGTTACTAAATTATTACATTTTGAATTATAGTTGTTGTGAACTTATCCCATATTAACTGGTTGGCCATTATTTGAATTTGAATCACAATTTGATTTGTCACACGCAGCCAGTTGCATGTGTTTTCACAAAACAACATAGAAAAGATTATGAAAGTTATTTGATAAAATAAACTTAAAAAAGTAGTTAACTGCACAGCACCATTAAATGCTAGTTTCCCTGTTTATTTATATTCTTTTAGTACTGTGCACCCTGCCATCCTTCGGTTTTTTTGTGCATTGGAGAAGTGCTCACTGACCTCCGGAATCTGATTGTCTGATAAAATCATTATGATGTGTCAGGGAACCTGAAAAAATGTTTCCTCCTTATTCTCCCATTTCCAACATCCTCCATCATAGCAGCATCCATCGCTCACCATTACACACGGGTGTAACAGCGGTATTAAAATGTTTACAGCAGTTTGAATGCCTCACAACTGGTTAAATGTATGTATTGATCTTTGGTACGACTCTAACTGGTGATCAGAAGGAATGAAATGATAAGAAAGCCTTTAAATATTGTTTGAGCTTTAATTAAGGATTTGAGGTGCTCCTATGCCTTTTTTATCTATTTAAATTTGGTCCTCATGTGTAGTTTGACCTGTGCAAACATGAATTAACCAGTAGAATTGAATGCATACAATGAGGCGGATTTCCGATTAATGTTTTACATAAAGTGATGTTGAGAGGCCTTTATCTGGCTTCAGTTCTTCACCATCAGTGTCTTCTTTCTCCCTTTCCTCAAAGGGTTATGCAAGGAGTTGGTGTGAGGGACCAAATGTTACCACAGCAAGTTTGTTTTTGACTAATCATAACCTTTGTTTGGAAAGTGATGCACGTGTAGTGTAATGTGTAATGTAATATTTTGTGCAAAGCAAGTTTGACAAATTAGTCCCCTGATCATTTATATTATAAGGTAAGCTCGTGTGTGTGACAGAAACCTTAAAGCTTAAGTGTGTAATTTTCAGCATCACCTACCATCTCAAGTGATGAGGTTTGTTTACATAGATAATTTTACAGTATTTCATTAGTCTGTGTAGGGTATAGACTTCATGTAGACTTAAGATAATAAATATACCCGTTATTTTTTCTACATCGTTGTGACGTTTTGGCGATCTCGCAATCGCTAGTTTGTTGGCTCTGCGCTGCCGTAGTGCAAAGATGTCTGCCTCCATGGCTGCGAGACCCACTCCTATGTAATTATAAATAACGAATTCTAAGGTTAAGAGGCTGAGCTCGTAGATGATGATAAATAACATAGTTATGTATAATATATTACATTTCTGACTGTATATCCCTGTAATTATTACACACTGTAGCTTTAATATAATCTTAGATGAAAAAACAGAAAGTGCTAAGAAGACACTAAAGAGAGAATAAAAAGACATACCTGTTCGCATGACTCTGTGGAAAATGCTTCACATTTCAGTTTCTCTGGCCAGTTTAGGCCAAACCTGTTCATCAGAGGCTCGCAGCCGGATCGAGCCTGCTCACAGACTGTCCTGCAGGGTGGTAGTCTCATCCCAGACGCACATTTTGGAAGGTGGACGGAGCACAGGAAAGGCTTCAAATGAGCGGAGCATTGGAGCTGAACAAGTGGCTCAAAGTCATCTAATGCTAAGTTTGCCTCTTGTTGCGTTTTGTGGCCGAGACTGTTGGGCAGAAAGGCTTCCTTATAAGGCATGTCTTGGCACATAGTGGAAGTCATGGGTTGACATGTTCCAAGAATGTTGATACGTGAAGGCTGGATTAATGGAAATATGATTAAAGATTGCTTGTATCATCCTCGTGAGAACATGGCTCTAAATTTTAATGACAAAGAATGCATCCTTACCTCTTCGCAGGACTCAGTGGTGAAGGATTCACACTTTAAGGCTTCAGGCCATGGAGAGCCTAAACTGTTCATCAGTCTCCCACAGCCTGATCGCGCCTGTTCACAGAGAGTCCTGCACGGAGGCTGGGCTCTTCCTGACACACACTGAGGTGTGAAGACTGAGCACAAGAATGGCTTAAGATGAGGAGAGCATTCAACCTTTATTAGTGGGACAAACTGTTGTATTGCTAGCTTTGCCTCTTCCTGGGATTTGTGACCTAGAATATTGGGGAGGATAGTATTTGAGTAGGAAACATCTTCGCAAATGGAAACTGTGATCGGCTGACATGTTCCTGTGGGGGTCTGTCCGACAGCGGCAGGTGGACCCTGAGGGCAAAACAAAAACAAAGAAAAACATAATTCATCATCTGGAAAGCATACAGTTTTCTTAACAAAATAATTAAAATACATTCAATAGATAGAACAATAGATAGTGTTTCTGAGAGTGTTTATGTTTATTTATGCCACTTTTGTTTTGTTTTGACTTTGTGTTATCTTTATGTTTCATGTTAACATAAAAAAACAGGCAAATTTGTATTGTTGATGTTTGAATTTTCATGTATGTTTCCTCAATAAAACAGTTTGAAATGAAAAACATAATTCATCCATCTGTCTGTCCATCCGTCCATCAATCACTTAAAAAGGTTAAAAAAGGGTACTGACTTGTAAAAGTTATCATACTTAGGTATTTACACTAACATGCATAGGTCTAGATTACTAGGATTGTATGAGATAGATCAACACAAAGTATATAATTTTGGGGTCAGAAGAAAAATTTTAACTATTTATTAAATTCAGCATCTGAAAGCGTCTAAAGTCTCTCTAAACCATTTCTTTTCAGAATCTTAGCTAAATAACCCCTGCAGGTTGGGGAATATCTCGGCATAATTGAAGGCTGTTTTTATATTTGCAAATGTTTGAGTTGTGAGCATCAATGTAAGGTTTCCACAGCTTCTCAATAGATCTCTTAGATTTACAATTTGTTCAGGTCAAATGAGCCCAATACTCCGGAAACACTATCCCCATGGTTACACACAACGCATCATTGTATGTGCAATATTTAGATCAAATGGTAAGGAGAATCTGGTGGGACTTAATATAATGTTAAAAGGCCATAATTACTGAGAAATTGTGGAGGATAACTTCTTAGAGGCTGCAAAAGGGTTGGAACTGTACAAGAAAACAAGACAGTAGGAAAAAACGTTTTTAAACCATATTTATGTGTTATAGCGGCTTTGTATAACTCTGGACCTAAAATTAATGAGGAAATAGTGGCACAATTTTTAATTTAGACATTTTGCAAAAAAACAAACAAACACAAAGTTTAGTCTGTAGATGTCTAAAGCTTGCACAGACAATCTGTAGACTTAAGCTGTACAGCAGCAAAAGCTGTGCTAACTATAATACTGGCTCAAGGCAGCCATATCTATGCTATACTAATTTTTTTCCCCAAAACAATAAAATCTGCGTTATTTTAACCCAGAGATGGCAAAAGTACTCACTTTCCGTACTTGAGTAAAAGTACAAATACTTGTGTTAAAAAATACTCTGGTAAAAGTGGAAGTACTGATTAAACTTCTTTACTCAAGTAAAAGTAACAAAGTACAGGCTTGTAAATTTACTTAAAGTATAAAAGTAAAAGTAGAAACCACTTTTTTCATGCCGTTGCCTACATTTTAAATGGATGTCTGCCAATAGGACTAGATCTCCGTTGTGTTCATTTTCAATCATCTCGTCGTCCATGCTACTATGCTAACGCCACCGCCACCAAGCTGCAATGATTTGCCGCAAATGAATACCGCCTAATCTGTCGATTCATCTTGTAGTGGTGCGTCAAATGCAACGTAGATTCCCATCCAATTAGATTGAATTTGGTATTGATGACGTGAAAAATAATAACGGTAACTCCATTGAAATGATTCAAAACTAAAGTAACGAGCCAATTTTTTTAAATGTAAGGAGTAGAAAGTACAGATATTTGTGTAAAAATGTAAGGAGTAGAAGTAAAAAGTCGCCATAAAAATAAGTAGTAAAGTAAAGTAAAAATATCAGAAAAATCTACTTGAGTACAGTAATGAAGTATTTGTACTTCGTTACTTCCCATCTCTGCTTTAACCTAATAAATAAGCTAAAAAAAAGTGTTAGAACTGTAGATTTACAGTCATATGTTTATATTAAGGTTTATATATATATATATATATATATATATATATATATATATATATATATATCTTTTTGTTTGTTTTTACTATTTTTCAAGGCTGCACTTTAAAAAAAAAAGAAATTGTCCAGAGAGCTGTTCCAAACGAAATTTTTTTTTTGTTTTTCACTGGTGTAAACAAAATGACAAAATGAAAAATAAAATCTGTCTAAGTCTAAGTGTATTCTGTACTCGGTTTATGCACCCAGGCAATGCTCTGTTGGTAAAACCTTCATTAGGAAAACAGTACAGCAGCACAATATTCAGAACAAACAGACCTAAAAACAGCTTCTTCCATAAAGCTGTGAAATATACAAACTACAATATATATTTTTAATAAGCATACCCAGTTTTTTCTAAGGGTGTTTTATTTTTTCTAATAGTATTTACATTTTCTGTCTTACCTGTTTTCCTCTAACTTTTATATTTAGGTTGTTTTATATTTTCCTGAAATATATAATTGTTTTTATTGTTGATATAAAACCGAAATAAACTGCATTGAAAATTATAGTGGTGACAACCTGTAAAAAAATAAGGAGTATTAACTCCTTGGGCACGAGCACCATAATAACCTATTCAATGCCAGGTTGCAGGTATCTTTAAAGTTGACTTCAACCAGGGTTTTAAGGTCTTATTTCAAATGTTTTGCACATCTATAGTTCATTTACAAGCTAAAATAGCATTCTCTATAAAAGCAGTTCAATAAAGAAAATCCTCTACATAGATATAAGACAAATGTTTACCTGAATACAGTCAGTCTGTGGGAGATTTTCACACCGAAGCTGCGTTGGCCAGGTGAGCCGCTTATTTGTTAATATAGGATCACAATCCTTCTTGACCCTTTCACAGAGAGCCTTGCATGGCTTCACCTGACTCCCATCTCCTGAGCCACATTCTGGCAAGGCAGCACGACACATGAGAATATCGACATGTGGTGAACAGGCTGTCTGCACAATCTGGCCAATCTGGTGTAAATTGAAGCCCTGGAGTCCATTCGGATGACGGGTAGTTTTGTATCCCACACCTCCACAAAAACTGGTTGTCATTGGCTTGCAGCTTGTACTGTCATCTCTCCCAGGTTGCACTTGTGAAGGAAAAACCTGCATGAACAGAACAACTAAGAAAAAATGTTTCATGGCTCTCGACTACAGTCTGTATCCTGAAGCTTCAGCTTAGTCTGCTGCTTTTCTTGGGAGGTGGAGAAAGATTCTACCAATAGACTTTTTACAAATAAGGTGCTTGTTTAAGACCACAGGTCACGAAACAAAACGATGCTCAACATGCAATAAAACCAAAGCTGTCTCACAGCAGGAGCTCTGTTCTGGGAAATTCCATCCCGGCTGACCGAAAGCCGTGAAGCAGGCTGAACATCTGGTCGTGATTGTGATCTTTGTGAGTCACCACCCTCCTGGAGAAAGTGGCGGTTTAAGCCTGGCAGCTAGAAGTGGGCACAAAAACACTTTTAGAGGTAATTTGCTGGGTTTTTACAAAGAACTCATTACATAATCCATTTACAGTAAGACCTTTAAACAAGGTTAGTACATTTTTTTTATTTTAGGACACCATGTTTTCCAGACTCAGTTTGAGAAATGAAACATATTACATAATTACACTTATTATCAGTGTTTTTCAATCAATTATTGTACAACAATATAAGATCTCTGGCTTTAAAATGTTGTATTTTCGTAAAGGGAATTTGATGATTATTATGTTAGAGCAACTTATGTCAGCTTTACATTAACATTAATAACATTTAGGTTTGTCAAATCTGGAAAAAATAATCCTCCACTATATGAGGATTTTATTTTTTAACAAGGTAAATCTTAATATCTGTATTTTTATTATTGAAGGTTTAAAGAAGTAAGTTTTAGCTCTTTTTTTTTTTTGACCCAGCTACTCACATACATATCCAGCCATAAACTCTGTCTAAGATTCCCCATAAAAAAGTTTAAAAATCCTTTTGAAAATTTTAAATAATCATTTATCCATCAGTTCTCTTTTTTATTTACTTAAAGACTCTAATATCAATATCACTATTTTTTATCATTTTTTTTTTCAATCTAACTTTATTACATTCATTTATTACTTAACCCTAACAGAAAAAAAACGTAAACTCCAATTTTTGAAACAAAATATTAAGTACGCGATTTAAAAAAAAATCCTTAATTTTCTCGCTTCAAAGCAATAATAATTAGGATGAAGCAATTTAAAGACTATCGATTTCTATTAGCATGTATATATATATATATATATATACATTTTTCATAAAAAAAATTATATATAATACAATTTTTTTCTCCAGACAGGTAACAAAATACTTTTCCAAACTTTTTAAGACTGTGTTGCAACTGATATCAAAACAACGATTCAAATAAGCAGTTTGTATCTCTAATGTAAACATATTGTTTGTTTTGAAGGAAAGGCCTTTCTACATTATGTCAAAACAACAATTTAGTAACTACAATTACAAGAAGCCAAGCATACCTCTTCACAGGACCCGCTAGTAAAGGATTCACACTTTAAGGAGTCTGGCCATTGAAAGCCGGAGCTTCTCATCCGTGAAGCACACTCAGAACGTGCAAGCTCACAAAGTTTTCTGCAAGGAGATTGAGGTTTTGCCGAGACACATTTGGGCGTGTACACCGAACAGAGGAAAGGCTTCAGGTAAGGAGAGCATTCAGGTTTCAAAAATGGGCCGAACTTGTCCATCTCCCGGGCTGCCACATCTTGGGTTCGGTGACCCAGACTGTTTGGCAGGAAGGTCTCTCTGTAAGGCAGGTCAGTGCAGAGTCGGGCAGTGATAGGCTGACATGTTGGTGGTGGAGCTTCAGTAACAAAAGTTTCTTGACCCTGGTAGAGCAGAAAAAGAGTATGATATTATGATATAGTTGAGTTCTTTTGGTTAAAAACATCTAGTTTTATACCAGATGCCAAATAAACAAAGGTTTTAGCAATAATGCAAGGAAAAGGTGGGATTTGGGAGCCAGTGAGTCTCGGCAAGTGAGATAAAGGCCCTTGAAAGGTGAGGTTGGGAACTGGTAGTCTTCCCAGCTTTTCTTGTCCTCACCAGAGGCACATAAAGGCCTTGATAATGGGATAAACCCCATTAGTAAACAGTGTGTCTCAGTCACAAACACAATCCTCACAGCTGAAGGTTGTACAAATATAAATACCATTTAACTTATTTCTCCTGTCTACTTTGATACTATATTGAGTCTTGATTTCAATGAGTTAATCATGCAATAAAAAAACAACACCTAAAGCATGGTTTGCATTATCATCAATATGCTATTAATGCTTGCACAACGACACAGTGGGGCAAAAAATATTCAGTCAGCTGATGCATGTACTTCCACTTAAAAAAAATAAGAGAGGTCTGTAGTTTTCATATCATAGGCTCACTTTACCATAAGAGACAACATAAAAAAAAGAAAAATTACATCTTAGGATTAAAAAAAAAATGATTTTTAAATTATAATGGAAAAATAAGTATTTAGTCAGTAACAAAAGTACAGCTCAAAATTTTGGTGCATAACCTTCCTGATTCCTGTAACTTCATCAGGTTTGCTCACACTGTAGCTCCTATTTTGACCCATCCCATCCCTCTCCACTAGAGCAGGGAAGTTTTGGGTAACACAGACTGTCAAATCCACCCGTCCATCCATTTTCCGTCACGTTTAATCCCAAGCGGGGAAGCCAGGGGGGCTGGTGCCTATCTCCAGCTGTCAACGGGGAGAGGCGGGGTTCACCCTGGACATGTCTCCAGTCCATCGGAGGGCAACACAGAGACAAACAGGACAAACAACCATTCACACATACCCACACCTAAGGAGATCCTAATTAACCTAACAGTCATGTTTTTTGGGCTGTGGGAGGAAGCCGGAGTACCCGGACAGAACCCACGCATGCTCAGGGAGAACGTGCAAACTCCATGCAGAAAGACCCCGGGCCGGGAACCGAACCCTGAACCTTATTGCTGCAAACAGTGCTACCCACTGCAGCCCGACTGCCAACTCCCTCCACATATCTTCTATGGGGTTTAGGTCTGCAGACTGATTATGCCAATCCAGGACCTTGGAATGCTTGTTCAAATTCGGGTATAATAACAACACCTCATCCAGGAGAGGAGCTCTCAGCATCTTCAGTACTCTGGGAACAGAAGTTTACAAAGGCTGGAGAAGTAGTGTAAAATTAAAATTAAAACCAAAAAAAAAAAAAAAAAAAAAAACACATTTCTGAATAAAACCTCCCTTTTTCCACATCATTGTATCAGATAATGTACATAACAGAACAAGTTAAACATATTTATTATGCATATATAACAATAATAATAAGATAAATTAATAGTTATTACTTATTAATTGTAATTTTCAATGGCTCAAAATGAGTGCATTGGATTTGGGTTGCCGGCTTGCTGTTGTAGATTCACGCTTCCCAGCCTGATAACAGTTCTTTGGTTTTGGCCGTTCTGTTTGGAGTTTGGAGTCTGACTGTTTGAGGCTTTTCAACAGGTTCTTCTTTGAATATAAGGAGTTCAAAATGTATAACGCTTCTTAAAGAATTTACAGGTCTCTGAGGGGCCAGACATCTTTCTTGGTTGTTTTGACCAAATATTTATTTTCCATCATAATTCACAAATAAATTATTAAAAAATCCTTCCAAATGTTTTGAATTTTTTTCCAACTTTGTCTTTCATAGTTGAAGTAAACATATATGCTGAAATGTGCAGACCTATTTCATCTTTCTAAGTAGATCATGTACAATCAGTGGCTGACTAAATACTTTTTCTGAATTACCAATGTATGTTTAATAATCCATCTTTTCACACACTTTTAGATGCAACCTTGCTCCAAAACAAGCAAGTGAAATGCTCGTTTTACGTCTTCACCCTGTTATCATGCTCTGCAAAGACTTTTCACATATCTATTCGTTTTATTTTGGTGCTTTATACAGTGATGCAAAAAAAGGTTATAAGACAGTAACTCCTGAGGACCTAAGTTGAAGACGCCTGGCATAAAGTTAGGTCCCACATTTAATAAACCATACAGTTGAAGGCAAAATGGGTTTATAATTTGAAACACAGTCTCCTCTGATAACTCAAAGTGAAAACTGAGTCATGTTATGCTTACCTGCACACAGTTAGACTCTGGTAAAGAGTCACATCGTAGCTTATATGGCCAGAACAGCCACTTTGCACTTAGAGGGGACTGACAATCCTTCTTGACCTTCTCACAGAGCGCTCGGCAGGGCTTCTTCCTGCTTTCATTTTCTGAACCACATTCAGGTACAACAACGCGACATATGACTGTTGCGATGTGAGGTGAGCAAGCAGTCTCCACTATTTTGCGGATTTGTTGCAGGCTGAATCCTTGGATCCCATCTGGGTGAGGAGTAGAAGTATATCCCAAACCTTGACAAAAGCTGGCTGTTACTGGCTTGCAACTCTCATCTCTCCTGGATTGAGCCTGCTGCAGAAACAGCAACAGACAGACAACGACCAAAAACAAATGCCTCATGATGTTTCTCAGCCAAAGTCCTGGAATGTTTTAAAGCTTTATGAGGCTCAGTACGAGCATGTTCCCAGTTCTTAGGAGGTGGAGTATAAAATCACTAATGTTTTTTGTTTTTTTTACATTAAGAGAAGTGATTTAGTTACACCAGTGCAGCCATACATCAAGAGGATCTTCTAAATAAAACAGAAGCCATGCTTGGTTCTCAGCTGGGCTGCTTGGTTCAGACACATTCTGTCTATATGCTCCAGGGAGTTATGGCATGAAGCACATCTGGTAGGAATAATACGCTTTGTGGATGAAGAAAGGCGTGAGAATTTGTTTCATAAATCACTAAGAAAAATCTTTAAACAGGATAATTGTCGCCATGAAGCTTTAGTGACATGAAAATTAACATCCTTACAAGAGCAACAAGAGAACATTAAAGGAATAGTACACCCAAAACATGATTAGCCTTCATTTTCTACTCACCCCCATGCTGAACAACACTCTGGAGTACTTTTTTGATATCTCAAATGCATCTGGAGATCTGGGAGGCTTCTTGCTGTCTGCTGACATTCAAATAATGGAGGTCTATGGCGCCCGAGGCAGAAAGGTCCATAAAAGTCCACAAAAAACGTGTCAATATTCCTCCATACTGCTCGTCCAATGTATTCCAAGTGTCCTGAGTGGGTAGTATCCAGAATTTACTCGAAACGAAGTCATTTAGAATGTTTTTAGAGCATAAACAGTAGTGTATAGGATTTCCTGAAAGCGCGTTCATGCGCGTTCACGACGCTACGGAAGCCGGCAGACCAAACCATCGCATTCAGCTCGGCAAAGAACTCATGCTCTTCCTCAACACTGAAGTCCTCAGACATTTTTCTTTCGTTGTTTCTTTCTTTGCACAGGTAAACAGCACATTTCTTCTTCTAAGCTTGCATTATCGGCAGAGCAGACGCTGAATGCGCACTTTCATCTGGTTTGGTCTGCCGGCTTCCGTAGACTCGTGAACGCGCACGCATGCGCTTTCAGGAAATCCTATACACTACTGTTTATGCTCTAAAAACATTCTAAATGACTTCGTTTCGAGTAAATTCTGGATGCTACCCACTCAGGACACTTGGAATACATTGGACGAGCAGTATGGAGGAATATTGACACGTTTTTTGTGGACTTTTATGGACCTTTCTGTCTCGGGCGCCATAGACCTCCATTATTTGAATGTCAGCAGACAGCAAGAAGCCTCCCAGATCTCCAGATGCATTTGATATCAAAAAAGTACTCCAGAGTGTTTTTCAGCATGGGGGTGAGTAGAAAATGAAGGCTAATCATGTTTTGGGTGTACTATTCCTTTAAGTGGTTCAGCAGACATGTTTAGCAAGTTATTGTCCTTCTGCTTTTAAAGGACCTTTAAAGTTAAGTTCATGTTTGTACCAACCTTAATATAACGTATTCATATTTTATATAAATATTCCCAAAAGTCATTATTGCTGTTATTTAAATGAGAACATATGCAGAATCTGCTTTTTATGAGTTTGTTATGAACAGCTGCTTCGGACTGACTTTTGGGAGCCATGTGGTGAGTTTAAAGACTACGACTAATGAAGTCCTTAAGGCAGATGGAACAGTAAATAGGCCTGAAAACAATGAAATAAAATGAGAACTCGATGAATACTGCCAACTGAGACCTTAGAGAGTTAGGAAAACAGGTACGAATGGAAGAATAAGTGAGGAACACAGGTCCAAAAATTGACTAATTAACCCTAGGCTCTGGCTTTGGAGACATTTTAAAACATGAATAAAAGCTGCAAGGATTAAACTCAGAGAACAAACCCAATGACATATTAATAATGGTTTGAAAAAGTAAAAATCAAACCAACTAACTGGTGAGTAGCAGCCTAGTGGTTAGGGCATAGGGCTTTGAATCCTGAGGTTGTGAGTTCAAGCCCCCATTCCCACAGACTGCCACTCTGGCTCCCTGAGCAAGACCCTTAACCAGACACTGCTCCCTGGGTGCTGCACCATGGCATCCCACTGCTCCCCAAGGGGATGGGTTATATGCATGGGCAGTTCTAGACAGGTACTGTAGACATAATACTTGAGAAATTCTAGTGATGATATGTGCTGTCATGGTTACTGATAGGTCCTTTGGATCTATTTCTTTTTTTTTTCTTTACAAACTCTGTTTAATTATCGAAAAAAAAATGTGATAGCTTCAGTGGAATTGAGATAGGATCCCAGTTTTCATCTGCTAAATGTTTTGTTTAAACAAAAAGAAAATACTCTAATTTTTACCGCTGAATGTATCCATTTTTCTTGAGTTCTAATTCAGATTTTATAGAAAACTGTAATTTTAACTTAAATTAAGTAAAAAAAATATGTAAAATTCCTGAATATAAGACATGGAATTTTAATTATACCTAATTGAATAGAAATTTCACTTCATGCAGCTATCTTAATATATTTGAATCCTTTGCTCTGTTTTTTTATTTCAAGCTTTTCCCCCATGGAAACACGCGGGGCCCCTCCTGTACATTTTTGTCTAGAACCGCCACTGGTTAAATGCAGAGAATTTATTTCATTGCTCTGTACTTGTGAGAGTGTAATGACAATAAAATTGAATTATTATTAAAAATGCTATGAATCATTTGGAAAAAAGTAAACTTCACTGTGTTTTCTTACCCTTGGCTGTGAATTTTTACAGGAGATCTGGATTTAGATAAAACTAAGTTAAAGAAGAAAACTAAATCTTCTGCTTTAGGAGGTTTGGCTTGTCTGTGGCAAAGCAGTCATCACAGACCTCTCATAGCCCTGTTAGGGTCTGGATTGGACCCTAACAGGTTTTTGCTGTTGTTCCCCTTCATGGACTGTACTGAACTTCTTGAGAGATTTTGAGAGAATTGCAGAAAGAAATAGAGAAACTGGGGACACAACACGTTTTCTCTATGAAGACTGGTCCAATTCAACTCCATATCGGAGGGAGGAAGGAAAAGTAAAGAAACTCTTCCTTAATTGGAATATCTCGGCAGACCTTGTTTAGAAGTTTGATATTTACTCTGAATAAAGCATACTAAAGTTTGTTGGATGTTGCACTACATGATTGCATGCATTTCATTTCATTGTGTGGGTGAATGCTGACTAATTGACTGCTGATTATATTATGATTGAGGCTGATTGTGACATTGATCATATGTTGCTTTGCAGGCTTATTCAAATTCAGTCCCTTCCCACTTTTCCTCTTTGAGGATTGGTTGTGAGCTGGTCAGAACCAACATCCCTCCTCCATTTTCCCCCTCTGTTGAGGTAGCTGATTTGTTCTCTCAACTTGGTTTGGTTGACACTCCTCCCTTTCCATCAGCAAATGCTGACTGGGGCTGGCCCTTTTCCCTGTCCTCAAGTTTAAGACAGGGAAAAGGGGACTATTCCTGACCTGCCGGGACATAGACTACTGGAGAGATGGTGTGTTTTACAATGCTGTCAGTGGAGGATGGTGAAGATGCATGGATTTTTTAATTTATGATACTTGGATTTCTCCTGTTTGGATTTGGAGGATACCTGATGTATCTACAATTACAGAGGACGATGACAGAAGTTTGGGCATTGATCAGGCTGCCAGCAGCGGTTGACGCACTCACAAAGGCTGTGAGTGAGCACGGCCTTGCGCTGAGCCGTATGCTGGGTGCGATTGAACGCAGGCTGGCTGCAGTGGTTGAACTCAAAAGCCCAACAAATTCTGAGTATTGGATTCCCCATGTGGAGCCATCAAGAAAAAACTCGAAGGCGGACAGGAAATTCCTGTGCAGCCTAATCTCAAAACAAAAAGTGTTATTTTTGATTCCACCTTCCCCTTATCAAACCTCTCTTAGATGTTATGGCGGAAAGGCCCAGAACTTCCGGCTACCCCATCTACCCTATCTTTTATTTTGTTCCATGTTTATTGTAGTGTGTTCAAGTTGTGCCATTAAGCAAAAAGTATTTTTAATCAGATTGCTGTTACAAGGAATTTTTTGTTTTTAATAAATTTCAACTTGATAAAGTGTGGTTTTCTGTGGTTTTCTCCCAAGATAAACATGAAATGTTTAGTTAATTAGGAAACCCAACTGTTCGTTATAATCATAAAAGGCTAATGGCCAATAATCAAGACAATTTTAAAGTTTTTCCAATATTGTTGCCTTTGATCTGAACAGTAAATAATGAATTATGATTTACAATACATAATTATTAATAAAACTCATAATAAAAGAGGGACATTTGCACAAAAACAGTAATCTTCTTTCTTCATAATTATCTCAATGGATTGTTTTGAGTCCAAGTCCACAAAAAAAGTCTGAAGAAAAAACGCATTTCCTCAAACAAGGCTGCAAAAGTTAAAAGGATTTGTTGCTAACAAACAAGAATATATATATAGAATGAGCTCACAGTGATTTAAATGTCTTCCTTCAGATAAGGTTATTTAGTGCCAGTTATAGAAAGTCTAACGTAGACTTTTTCTTTAATAAAAAATACTTATTTTATTTATAATATACCACCAGCTGCATGGCTCTGTTGGTCCCACAGTGCTGCTAACCTGCTAAATTCCCTGGGCTCAAGTCTTACTGCTCCCTCCCCTCTAATAAGCTATACCTTAGAGTTAGACTTAGAAACTTTTATTGTAATTTTTTATAAACAGAGTGTAAACAAAACGAAATTTGGTTTTGTAGAGCTTTCATAACATTCTCACTCCTTAAAGTGCAACAGTGATCAAATGTAAACAGTGTGGGAGAAAAAAGATATATGCAGAGTTTTGGTTTGGTGTTATAAGTGTGATGCAGATTTAGTGACATGATTAAGAGTTTTCTCAACAGTTCAGCTGTCTGATGGCAGTGGGGAAGAAGCTGTTGCAGAATCTGCTGGACATGCATCGGATGCTTCAAAGCCTCTTCCCAGAGAGCAGCAGAGAGAACAGTCCATGGTGGGGGTGTGAGGGGTCATTGAAGATGTTACGGGCTCGGGACAAGCAGCTCTGGGATGAAATGTCTTTCATGGAGGGAAGAGGAGCCCTGATGATCCTCTGCCATTCTCACCACTCTTCTCACTTTCTTATAGCACCTGAATTGCAAACATTTCCCCCATAAGCAATGTTTTCTCTGTTACTGAACAT